AATGAGTACATATTTTTGTTAGCTTAGTTATACAGGGGATTGTTTCATTGTTAAATCTCCATACATGTTTACACTATATTCCAATCAGGCTTATCCCTTCTATCACACTCCCTGCCTCCCTTCTCTCCAAAAGTAGCATCCCCAGTGAATTTCCTTATATTGTTTTTTGGGGGGGGTTTTGTTTTTGTTTTTTGGTTCCGGTCGTGGGGCCTGAACTCTGGGCCTGGGTGCTGTCCCTCAGCTCTTCAGCTCAAGGCTCGTGCTCTACCACTTGAGCCACAGTGCCACTTCCGACTTTTTTCTTTTTGCTTATGTGGTGCTGAGGAATCGAACCCAGGGCCTCAGGCATGCAAGGCAAGCACTCTACCACTGAGCCACCTTCCCAGCCCCAATTTCCTTATATTGTTTATGAGTACATATTTATAATCAGGAAGAATAAAAAATTTGACCAAAGGAAATTTTCAAACAGCCTGCTCAAGTATAACCTACTTTCTCCATGTTTTGTGATTGCAGCATAACCCTCAACTCAGCAGTCCCATTATTTCACCAGCGCAGTCACCAGCACCAGCTCAGCTGTCCACTCTGAAAAGTCTACGTCCATCTGGACCACCGCTTTCCATCATGTCCCAGTTTTCTAGACCTTTTGTTCCTGGTCAGGGTAGGTATATATGAAACAAGTCATAGCTTCAGAAAACTTTAAGATATCCACTCACAGTTATCTGGTAACTCATCTTGATATTGCTGCCTTTCTGTTTTCCACAGAGCTACATTTTCATCTTCACCCAAGTATATCTATTTACTACTATATATAAAGTCTTCTAATCTTAATGTTCTGTTGCTAATAATTGTTACTAATGAGTACCTAGGACTACAAGCATAAGCTACCAGTATTTGTCTTTTAAAATCATGTTTTAAAGAATTGGTAGCTAAGCTAGTGGCTCACCCCTGAAATCCTAGCTACTCAGGAAGCTGAAATCTGATAATTGTTGTTCAAAGCCAGCCAGGGCAGGAAAGTCCATGAGACTTATCTCTAATTAACTACCCAAGAAGCCAGAAATTAAGCTGTGGCTCAAGTGGTAGATCACTAACCTTGAGCAACATAAGATCAGGGATAGCACCCAGGCCCTGAGTTTACTCCACAACTGGCACCAAAAAGAAAAAAAAAATCATGTATGTTCTTCCCCATGATATAACCCCCTGTTGTCACTGCAGCTTGTATATACATTTTTCTAATTTGGGGAGGGGAAGGGAAATAACAAAATGCTGAAACAAGAATACAGGTTGACCCATTGTAACACTGAGGTGTACAAGACACTATGTTGAAAATGGACTTTACAACTTTGGGGCGGGCGGGGTGTTGGGGAGGTGGGGCGGAAAGGGATGGTAGGGGAAAAACAAAGCAACGGGAAGTAACAGTGCTCAATAGGAAATGTACTTATTACCTTACTCATGTAACTGTAACCCTTCTGTGTAGTGTTTTTTTTGTATTTTGATTTTGTCAGTCGTGGGGCCTGAACTCTGGGCCTGAACCCTGTCCCTGAGCTCTTCAGCTCAAGGCGAGCGCTCTACCACTTGAGCCACAGTGCCACTTCCGGCTTTTTCTGTTTATGTGGTGCTGAGGAATCAAACCCAGGGCCTCATGAATGCAAGGCAAGCACTCTACCACAAATCGCAGTACTACAAAAATAAAAAAGGGGGCTGGGAAGGTAGCTCAGTGCCTCGCATGCATGAGGCCCTGGATTCGATTCCTCAGCACCACATAAGCAAAAAGAAAAAAGCCAGAAGTGGCGCTGTGGCTCAAGTGGTAGAGCGCTAGCCTTGAGCTGAAGATCTGAGGGACAGCACCCCAGGCCCAGAGTTCAGGCCCCATGACCGGACCCAAAAAATAAATAAATAAAATAAAATAAATAAAAAAGAGGGCTGGGAAGGTGGCTCAGTGGTAGAGTGCTTGCCTCGCATGCATGAGGCCCTGGCTTCAATTCCTCAGCACTACATTAAGCAGAAAAAGCTGGAAGTGGTACTGTGGCTCAAATGGTAGAGTGCTAGTCTTGAGCTGAAGTGCTGAGGGACAGCGTCTAGGCCCAGAGTTCAGGCCCCACGACCGGCAAAAAAATATATAAATAAAAAAGGGAATATTGTCAAAATATAGTGAGCAGTTTTTTATATTTATTTATTTTGTCAGTTGTGGGGCTTGAACTCTGGGCCTAGGCACTGTCCCTGAGCTTTTCAGCTCAAGACTAGTGCTCTACCATTTTGTGCCACAGCATCACTTCTGGTTTTCTGATAGTTAATTGGAGATAAGAGTCTCAGGGGCTTTCCTGCCAGGGCTTGCTTTGAACCACAATCCTCAGCTCTCAGCCTCCTGAGTTGCTAGGATTACAGGCTGAGCTACCAGCCTGGCTATGGTGAGCAATTTTAAAAACAAATTACACAAACTGAGTGTCAATGACACTTTAGTATAATCCTAGCTACTTAGGAGTCTGAGGGCTGATGATTGCCATTGTTAGCCAATCCTGGCAGCAAATTCCACTAACCACTAAAAAGCCAAAAGTAAAGCAGAGACTCAAGTAGTAGAATGCTAGCCTGGCCTTGAGTACAAAAGCTAAAGAATAACACCCAGACCCCAGTTCCAGCTCCAGGGTCCCCACCATGATATTAAATAAATAAAATAATTAGTTACACAGGCTGGACTCACGTTTGTAATCCCAGCTATACAGGACATAAAGATCTGGTAGTTTTCACAGTTTGAGGCCAACCAAACCAAACATTTATTAAAATTTCCATCTCAATCCATAATCCATAGTTTCATGGAAATAGCACACTGTATAGGTAACAGGGTGGACAATTGAAAGCAAAAACGCAAGGCCCTTTCTGGAAAAAATGGTTAAAGCAAAAATAGCCTGGACTTATGGTTCTCATGGCAGAGCAGTACCTAGCAAGCTTAGTCCTCTGAGTTCAAATTCCAGTACTGGAAAAAAAAAAAAAGAAGTGGGGGGCTAGGAAGGTGACTTAGCAGTAGAGTGCTGCCTCTCATACATGAGGCCCTGGATTCGATTCCTCAGCACTACATAAAAAGAAAAGGCCAGCCGGGCGCTGGTGGCTCACGCCTGTAATCCTAGCTACTCAGGAGGCTGAGATCTGAGGATCGCGGTTCAAAGCCAGCCCGGGCAGGAGAGACGGTGAGACTCCTATCTCCAATAAACCACCAGAAAACCGGAAGTGGCGCTGTAGCTCAAGTGGTAGAGCGCTCGCCTTGAGTTGAAGAGCTGAAGGACAGCGCCCAGGCCCAGAGTTCAAGCCCCACGACCGACAAAAAAAAAAAAAAAAGAAAAGGCCAGAAGTAGAAGTGTGGCTCCCGTGGTAGAGCACTAGCCTTGAGCTGAAGAGCTTAGGGACAGCTCCCGGGCCTAGAATTCAAGCCCCACAACAGACCAAAGACAAATGAAAAAAAAAGGTTAAATACACAGGTATTTCAAAAAAGAAGATATCTGTTAAGATAACCATTAAGTCTTTCAGAACTTACTTAACATTGTCAATTATTAGGAAAATTTATATTAAAAACAGAATGAAATGTCACTCACACCTACTAGGAGTATAAAATGTTAAAGCCACTTTAGGAAAAGTAGTGGCAGTGTCCTGCAATTGCTATGCAACACAGCAATTTCATTCTGAGGTGAAAAAGAAATTGAAAACATTCTCATACATACAACTTTGTTTTATAATAGTCCAAACTAGATGTGACAAACAATAGGAAGCTGGCCAAATTTATGGTATCTCCTTACAATTGGTTATACTTAATAGTAAAAATGTACAGAGCAGGCTTATGCACAGCAATATGAATCTCAGAGGCATTATATTAAGAAAAAACAAGGGAAATAGTGGCTGGAAATGGTAGAGTGCTAGACCTGAGCACAAAGAGGCTGAGGGACAGCGCCCAGGGCCTGAGTTCAAGCCCCAGAATTGGCAAAAGAAAGGAAAAGAAGGAAGGAAGAAAAGGGAGGGAGGGAAGAAAGAAAGAAAAAGAAAGGAAGGAAGGAAGAAAAGGAAGGAAGAAAGAAAGCCATTTTCTGGATACCAGTGATTCAAGCCTATAATTCTAGCTACTCAGGAGGCTGAGATCTGAAGATTGTAGTTCAAAGCCAGCCTGGGTAGGAAAGTCAGTGAGACTATCTCCAATAAACCACTCAGAAAACTGGAAGTGGTGCTGTGGCTCAAGTGGTAGAGCACTAGCCTTGAGCTAAAGAGCTCAGGGACAGCACCCAGTCTGAGTTCAAGCCGCACAACCGACCAAAAAAAGAAAGAAAGAAACAAGCCAAGCCAGACAAGTCACATATAGTATCACACTTCTGTAATTCTAGCATGGACTAAGGCAGGATAGCAACAAGTCTAACCTGGGCAACATAATGAGAAAGGACTTTATGGTTGAAAGTCCATTCATTGTTTTTCTCTATTATAGTTACGAATGAGGAGAAAAGGATATAAGATATCCTGAAGGTTGTGGTGGGCTAAAGCCATAGGAAGGAAAATGTATGTGTCCAGTACATACTGTTTCGTTTTTGTTTTGCAAGATGAATTGGACTATTTTCCATAATGAGTAAAATGGTGGGAAGTGGAGAAAAATAAATTTTCTGAAGGCATTTTTCTAGCACTTATTGATAACTCTCTTCTATTTACAGATTATACTAAATTCAGTTGTTCATGGTTTAAATGAAAGTGTAACCCAAATTAAATTTCCAGGACAAACTTTTTGCTGTCAGCATTTATTAAGCCATTACTGTGTGATGGCTTTAGTCACTCCTAAGTGAAGAAAACAAATGAAAGGTCTCCATCTTGACTACCCCAACAAAGATTTTTAAATGAAAAAATTTAAGAAGAAGATATATAGGCACTGAACACCTGAGCTCCTCAGTCAAAAAATATTTACATTGAAAATTCAAATTTAGGGCTGGGAAGTTGGCTCAGTGGTAGAGCGCTTGCCTTGCATGCATGAGGCCCTGGGTTCGATTCCTCAGCACCACATAAGCAAAAAGAAAAAAGCAGGAAGTGGCACTGTGGCTCAAGTGGTAGAGCACTAGCCTTGAGCTGAAGAGCTGAGGGACAGTGCCCAGCCCAGAATTCAGGGCCCACGACTGGACCCAAAAAAGAAAAAGAAAATTCAAATTGAATTTAATGAGAAATGAAGAGCAGACTCAAGCCAGGAGTTTGGTGGCTTATGCCTGTAACGCTAGCTACTCAGATGGTTGAGATCTAGGAATCATGGTTGAAAGCCAGCTTGGGCAGAATCGTCTCTGAGACTCTAATCTCTAGTTAACTAGCAAAAAGATAGAAGTGGAGCGGTGGCTCAAGTGTAGAGCACCAGCCTGAGTGAGAAAACCAAATAAACAAAGGGCCCTGAATTCAAGCCCCATTAATTGCATAAAAGAAAAGAACAAGCCGGGTGCTGGTGGCTCACATCTGTAATCCTAGCTACTCAGGAGGCTGAGATCTACCCAGCCTGGGTAGGAAAGTCCATGAGTTCTTATCTCCAATAAACCACCAGAAAACCGGAAGTGGTGCGGTGGCTCAAGCAGTAGAGCGCAAGCAGTAGAGCGCTCGCCTTGAGCTGAAGAGCTGAGGGACAGTGCATCTTTTGGTTAATACAACTCAGCTGTATGTAATTAATAGTGAATTGGGGAGATAGAATATAATGGTTTCCCGAGTTCTTTCTGTCTAAATGTATTCTGTTTTGGTTTTTTTTTTCCTGTTTTGGTTTTTTTGGCCAGTCATGAGACTTGAACTCAGGGCCTAACTTCTTTTTGTTCAAATCTAGCATTCTACCACTTGAGCCACTGTGCTCTTTCCAGCTTTTTCTGTTTATGTGGCACTGAGGAATCAAACCCAGGGTTTCATGCATGCTAGGCAAGCACTCTACCACTAAGCCACATTCCCAGCCTTAATAATACTAATTAAAAAAAAAATTAGGGGCTGGGAAGGTGGCTTACTAGTTGAGTGCCTTGAGCAAAAAAAAAAAAATTAATAGTTAAAATTGCTTCAAAACAATCAGTTTTAAAATAACTTCTGTTGTATCCTTATCATTTCAGATATTTACCTAGGCTCTTTAAAAATATATGGCATGATAATAACAAATTGCCTCGTGAAGGTTAAAATGTGTTTGTGACTTTAACTAAGTATCACTATTCCACAAGACTGTGAAACACGTGCAATTTATGTAATCACCTAATCTCAATTTTTTTTTTAAAGTGAGAGATGGGATGGGTTAGGAGCAATGGATGACTATGTTGTCAGACACCTTGTACTCATATATTTTTGTAGAATGGGAACTTCTTTGTACAGCTACTTAAAGATAATAAATGAAATTAATTGAAATATCGCAATTTTTTTTGTTTAGTTGTGGGGTTTGAACTTGGAGCTTGGGCACTGTTCCTGAGCTCTTCAGCTCAAGGCTAGTGCTCTACCACTTGGGTCACTACACCACTTGCAATTTTCTTATGGTTAATTGGAGATAAGTCTCATAGACTTTCCTCAGATCTCAGCCTCCTGAGTAGCTAGGATTACAGGCATGAGCAACCGGCACCCAGCTTACTAAGCATGTGTTCTTACTGAGGAAGTCATACGTCCAGTCCTTTATTTTGTTGGGTTTTTTTAGGTATATTTAGATATATAATATCTAAATATATTTAGATATATTTTAGATAGAGTCTCACTTTGTGCCTGAGTTTGTGCCTAGGTGCACCTGCCACAAACACAACCACTATATCTAACTCTCCATTGAAAATAAGTCTCCCGGGGCTGGGAAGGTGGCTCAGTGGTAGAGCGCTTGCCCTGCATGCATGAGGCCCTGGGTTCGATTCCTCAGCACCACATAAGCAGAAAAAAAAAAAAAGCCAGAAGTGGTGCTGTGGCTCAAGTGTTAGAGTGCTAGCCTTGAGCTGAAGAGCTGAGGGACAGCACCCAGACCCAGAGTTCAGGCCCCATGACCGGACCCAAAAAAAAAAGAAAATAAGTCTCCCGAACTTTTCTGCCTGGGCTGGCCTCGAAATACAATCCTCCCAATCTCAGCCTCCCAAGCAACTAAGTTCACAGGCATAAGCCACCAGCACCAAGCTATTTTTTAAATACATAAATTATCAGTATTTTATACTGTTGAATTTGTTTCTCCTGTTCTTTACTTTGGACAACTCAGGAAACTATGGGAGGTACATTAAACATTAAAATGTTTTTGTTGGCTTATAGGAGATGCCAGGTATCCATTGCTTGGCCAGCCTCTGCAATACAACCCTCCTGCAGTTCTACACGGACACATTCCAAACCAACAGGTATGAATGACAGCTCTCTGACCTCATAGGCTTTGTCACAGAACAACATATTCTGTTGCTAAGAATGTTGGGGACTGCCTATCTGTTGGTACTACTCAAGAAGTGCTGCGTGTGCCACAGGCAGCTGCTTTATGCCTCTAAGCACTGCCTCCATCAGGATCCGAGCAAGGGAGTTAAGCAGTGGCTGATAGGGTGAGCTAGGAGTGCTACCAAAAGACAGGTAGCCAGGGCGAGAGCCCCCTTCAGGTGACAAGTTACAGTGAGAGACAGAACATATTGCTACAGAGCAGAATCCAGAAAGCTTGTGGTTTATTTCTACTGAAATACAAAACGCAAACTAAGAATGTTTGCGCATATTTCAGCATTATCAACCTTGATTCTCAACTGTTTTTGTGTCTCCAGGGTCAGTCTGGAAGCAGGCATGGGAACAGAGGAAGGAGGCAAGCTAAAAAAGCTGCATCTACAGACCTTGGAGCAGGAGAGGCAGGTGTGTCCTCAAGTGGCAATTGGATTGGGGTCTGCAAAGTTGTGACATTCTGAAAATACACTACACTGCAGTTTTGTTTTGTTTTTTTGCCAGTCCTGAGGCTTGAACTCAGGGCCTGGGCACTGTTCCTGAGGGATTTTTGCTCAAGGCTAGCAGTCTACCACTTGAGCCACAGTACACTTCCAGCTTTTTCTGTTTATGTGGTACTGAGTAATCGAACCCAGGGCTTCATGCATGCTAGACAAACACTCTACCACTAAGCCACATTCCCAACCCTTTTGTTTTTTGTGCCAGTTTTAGGTTTAAATTTAGGGCCTGGGTGCTGTCCCTTGAGCTTTTTTGCTCAAGGCTAATGTTCTACCACTTGAGCTACAGCTCCGCTTCCAGCTTCTTGTTAACTGGAGATGAGTCACAGACTTTCTTACCTAGCCTGGGTTTGAACCACAATCCTCAGATCTCACCTCCTGAGAGATCTGTTTTTGTAACTCTGTTTTGGTCCATATGTGAGAGTAAATATAGAGGTGCAGATGAGTTTAGGAGCAATGAAAGGGAACTAGAGAAAAAGGTGTGAGAGGAGCACTAATGTGAACAGCCTCTGTGTTCTTTAAGAAGTTATTGTCACACCCATGGAGGAGATGCTAGCAAAGTGCTCTCACTTTCATACTTTAACTCTCTATTCAAGAATCTTGGCCCGGGGCTGGGAAGGTGGCTCAGTGGTAGAGTGCTTGCCTTGCATGCATGAGACCCTGGGTTCGATTCCTCAGTACCACATAAGCAAAAAAGAAAAAAGCTGGAAGTGGCGCTGTGGCTCAAGTGGTAGAGCACTAGCCTTGAGCTGAAGAGCTGAGGGACAGTGCCCAGCCCAGAATTCAGGGCCCACGACTGGACCCAAAAAAGAAAAAGAAAATTCAAATTGAATTTAATGAGAAATGAAGAGCAGACTCAAGCCAGGAGTTTGGTGGCTTATGCCTGTAACGCTAGCTACTCAGATGGTTGAGATCTAGGAATCATGGTTGAAAGCCAGCTTGGGCAGAATCGTCTCTGAGACTCTAATCTCTAGTTAACTAGCAAAAAGATAGAAGTGGAGCGGTGGCTCAAGTGTAGAGCACCAGCCTGAGTGAGAAAACCAAATAAACAAAGGGCCCTGAATTCAAGCCCCATTAATTGCATAAAAGAAAAGAACAAGCCGGGTGCTGGTGGCTCACATCTGTAATCCTAGCTACTCAGGAGGCTGAGATCTACCCAGCCTGGGTAGGAAAGTCCATGAGTTCTTATCTCCAATAAACCACCAGAAAACCGGAAGTGGTGCGGTGGCTCAAGCAGTAGAGCGCAAGCAGTAGAGCGCTCGCCTTGAGCTGAAGAGCTGAGGGACAGTGCATCTTTTGGTTAATACAACTCAGCTGTATGTAATTAATAGTGAATTGGGGAGATAGAATATAATGGTTTCCCGAGTTCTTTCTGTCTAAATGTATTCTGTTTTGGTTTTTTTTTTCCTGTTTTGGTTTTTTTGGCCAGTCATGAGACTTGAACTCAGGGCCTAACTTCTTTTTGTTCAAATCTAGCATTCTACCACTTGAGCCACTGTGCTCTTTCCAGCTTTTTCTGTTTATGTGGCACTGAGGAATCAAACCCAGGGTTTCATGCATGCTAGGCAAGCACTCTACCACTAAGCCACATTCCCAGCCTTAATAATACTAATTAAAAAAAAAATTAGGGGCTGGGAAGGTGGCTTACTAGTTGAGTGCCTTGAGCAAAAAAAAAAAAATTAATAGTTAAAATTGCTTCAAAACAATCAGTTTTAAAATAACTTCTGTTGTATCCTTATCATTTCAGATATTTACCTAGGCTCTTTAAAAATATATGGCATGATAATAACAAATTGCCTCGTGAAGGTTAAAATGTGTTTGTGACTTTAACTAAGTATCACTATTCCACAAGACTGTGAAACACGTGCAATTTATGTAATCACCTAATCTCAATTTTTTTTTTAAAGTGAGAGATGGGATGGGTTAGGAGCAATGGATGACTATGTTGTCAGACACCTTGTACTCATATATTTTTGTAGAATGGGAACTTCTTTGTACAGCTACTTAAAGATAATAAATGAAATTAATTGAAATATCGCAATTTTTTTTGTTTAGTTGTGGGGTTTGAACTTGGAGCTTGGGCACTGTTCCTGAGCTCTTCAGCTCAAGGCTAGTGCTCTACCACTTGGGTCACTACACCACTTGCAATTTTCTTATGGTTAATTGGAGATAAGTCTCATAGACTTTCCTCAGATCTCAGCCTCCTGAGTAGCTAGGATTACAGGCATGAGCAACCGGCACCCAGCTTACTAAGCATGTGTTCTTACTGAGGAAGTCATACGTCCAGTCCTTTATTTTGTTGGGTTTTTTTAGGTATATTTAGATATATAATATCTAAATATATTTAGATATATTTTAGATAGAGTCTCACTTTGTGCCTGAGTTTGTGCCTAGGTGCACCTGCCACAAACACAACCACTATATCTAACTCTCCATTGAAAATAAGTCTCCCGGGGCTGGGAAGGTGGCTCAGTGGTAGAGCGCTTGCCCTGCATGCATGAGGCCCTGGGTTCGATTCCTCAGCACCACATAAGCAGAAAAAAAAAAAGCTGGAAGTGGCGCTGTGGCTCAAGTGGTAGAGCACTAGCCTTGAGCTGAAAAGCTGAGGGACAGCGCCCAGGCCCAGAGTTCAGGCCCCATAACCGGGACTCCCCCCCCCCAAAAAAAAAAAAAAGAATCTTGGCAGTTTGGCAGTTAGGCTAAGTGTTGTTATACTTGTTTTACATTAGGAACAGAAAGTTCAGAAAGTTGATTTAGGGAAACCATTATTGAGTACTATGTTTTATGTATGCAATTACCACTGAAGACTGGTATCAGTAGCTTAGCAACATTAGCTAAGCTAACATTGTTAGCTACTGATACCAGGGGTAACATTGTTATGCCCTGACTAACAAATAAGTAGGAATTATTTAAAAGGTAGCCATAATGATAACAATTTGTGGTTTGTAAATAATGTCAAAAAATTCTGTTCATTTCCTATGTTGTATTTGGTAACAGGGGGGTATTCATCTTAAAATTTTTTCCATTCTAGTTGTTGGCAAGGTCTTGGAAATTACTGAACTACCTGATGGAATAACTCGCATGGAAGCTGAGAAACTGTTTGGGGAACTCTTTAAAATTGGAGCCAAGATCCGGTGGCTTCGGGACCCCCAGTCCCAGCCCCAGCTACATCGTCACCCTCTCTGCTGTGGCAGTGGAGACAGCACTGTCAACTCTGAACGCTCTAAACCCAGTGACTTGGCCTCTACATACACGGTCTTAGCCACATTCCCCTCCATTTCGGCTGCACAGAGTGCCCTGAAGAAACAAATTAACTCGGTTAACAAGTTTAAGCTGAGAACAAGCAAGAAGCACTATGACTTTCACATTTTGGAAAGGGCAAGTTCTCAGTAACAGCCCCCTTTGGACCCTTCAGTCTATGGTTCCCCTGCCCTCTTTCATCTCTGATTGGCTTGGTATTTGGAGCTTCTCTTAACATTATAGAGACTCCTAGAATGTATGGTCATTGTGATATAGCTGTTGAAGGCCAGTGATCCAGCAAAAGGAAGAAAAATTACACATTTTACCCCACTGACTAGAGGAATCCACACAGGAATGATACAATTAGCAGCTTTTTCCAAGGAAATGCTGTTCAGATGCCTCCTAACTTTTATAGTTATTTTGTTTTATATTTCTGAATTCTTGTATCAGATCCAAAGCTCTATTGTACAGCAAATTATTCTTCAAAGTGATTATAACCAGTTGCAACCTGTATTTCTTTTGCAGCCAGCACACTATGACCCAACTGAGAATTTGGGGGAAAAAGAATGCAGGAGTGGAATAACCAAGTCAAAACCATGTACATCTTTTTGGGGGGCTGAGGGTAATAAGGAGAGCCCACAAATAGAAGATTACTCTTCCCCTGTATATCTATAAACACAGAAACATTTTCCAGAAAATACAAAACTTCCCTGTAGGGTCCTTATTCATTTAGGTAGTATGAATGTTAAGTGTAAAGTAAATTATGTTCTTAATGCCTCTTAATCAAACCACTTATATTCAAAGGGGAATAGGAATCATCCTAGGCAGGAAAATACTTCCATTTTTTTAAAGTGTCCCTCCAATAACTAAATGCCACTTAACCTGCATTCCCCTCCTTTGGGTTTTTTGGTCACCTATGGAAATTCCTTTGATGAGTGCTGGAAACTTCTTAAGTGGTTTAAATTTTGTTTCCATTGTTTGCAGCGGATTACTGGACATCAAAGATTCATTGCACTTAGGAACCTTCTTTTCAATTTCTGTGTAATTTGCAAGGCTGTACAATGTGTGCTGATGCAAGCCTTTTTCAGTTCAAGAGAATAAATGTTTACAAATACAGATTACTTTGTCTTTTTAATTATAAACACTTTCATGATTAAACAATTAAAAATAGTGTATAGTTGGTTTTAGCTTATATATTTTGCACACAACTGTCCAGTTGGGCATAATTACTTTAACATACATCTTTCTCCATTGTTTAGCCAAGAAGAGTCATGCTGCTGGGACTCTACAACTGAAGTTGGGCAGCTGTGATGTGCCTTTTGATCTGGCTTTCATCCATTCTACACTAAGTGTTTATATGAGACTGAAGAGCACCAGACTCTAATGCACTCAATGCAAAGCATTTGCAAAGTTCTCCTTGGACCCAGTGGTGCCAAGGTTTCCTTCAGGCTGTCATCAAAAGTCAGAAAAGAGCCAGGTACTGGTGCCTAACTCCTATAATCCTAGTTACTCAGAGGGCTAAGATCTGAAGGTCAGGGTTGGAAGCCAGCCCAGGCAGGAAAGCCCATGAGATTCTCACTCTTATTAACCACCAAAATGCCAGAAATGGAGCTAAGACTAAAAGTAGTAGAATGCCAGCCTTGAACAGAGAAGTTAAGGGACACCGCTCTAAGTTCAAGTTAAATAAATAATATAGAAATTAAATTCATCAGTAACCATCATATGTAGCTATGATACTGTTAGTTAATAGGTCCATGCTGGGGGCTGGTAGTTATTCTGATGGTCTCCGTAGCTAGCCCAGGCAGGAAAGTCCATGAAACTGTTACTTCCAGTTAACAAGCAAAAAGCTACAAATAGAGGTGTGTCTCAAGCCATGTAGCACAGCCTTGAGTGACAAAGCTAAAGAAGAATGTGAGGCCCTGAATTTAAGCCAAAAAGAACGGAAGTGGCGCTGTCGCTCAAGTGGTAGAATGCTTGCCTTGAGCTGAAGAGCTGAGGGACAGCGCCCAGGCCCAGTTCAAGCCAAATGACCGACAAAAAAAAAACAACTTCGGAACACTGAAATTTACTTCCTGGTAATAGAAGATTTAATAGAGATTTCTAAAATGTCAAGGAAAAATAAGGTGCTGAGTTCCTGAATGATAGGGGCAGAGCCCCTTGTACTAATACTTCCTTTTATCTTTGGATGACAATCTGCAAATTGAATAAGTTTTTGTTGTATTAAGCCACTATAATTTGACTGGGACATTTGTTTTTCCTGCCCTGGTGACTTCTAGTTTTTTTTTGTTTTTTGCCGGTTGTGAGCCCTGAACTCTCAGACTGGGTGCTGTCTACCACTTAAGCCACAGCACCACTTCCAGCTTTTTCTGCTTCTGTGGTACTGAGAAATCAAACCCAGGGCCTCACACATGCAAGGCAAGCACTCTACCATTGAGCCACCTTCCTAGCCCATGACTTCTAGTTTTTTAACTTCAGCTCAAACGATTTTTTGTTTGTTTGTTTGCCAATCCTAGGGCTTAAACTCAGGGCCCAGGCACTGCCCTGAGCCTCTGTCTCTGCTCAAGGCACTATACCACTTGAGCCATATGGCCAGTTCCAGCTTTTTCTGTTCATGTGGTACTGAGGAATTGAACCCAGGACTTCATGCATGCTAAGCAAGCACTCTACCTCTAAAGCCACATTACCACCCCTCAAGTGGTATTTCTTTTAGATGGCCTGCTCTTATTCCAGAGCTCCCTGTTACTGTGCACAATAGTAATTTCTGCTGGTAATAAACTAATAACATCCTGTACTGTACTTCCTCTTCAAATCATTTATCATAATAGTAATTACAAAAGTATTTGATTGAGCTGGGGAGGTGCTCAGTGGTAGAGTGCTTGCTTTGCATACATGAGGCCCTGGGTTCAATTCCTCAGCACCACATAAGCAGAAGAAGCTGGAAGTGGCACTGTGGCTCAAGTGGTAGAGTATTAGCCTTGAGCTGAAGAGTTGAGGGATATAGTGCCCGGGCCCAGAGTTCAGACCGCACAACCGACAAAAAAAAAAAGTAATTGACCAATTAGTTGCTCAATGTGTTTTGCCCACTGGAATACAATTAGGAATTTGGAGAGACTATTGCATTTTCTTACTGATACATTCCTTCCACTAATAGGACCTTTCTCAGTAAATGTTCAGTGATTGAAGAAATGATCTGGCTGCAATAAATACTTTGAATCATGAAAAACAAATGTGATTTTCTTAAGCATACTTGGGCAGGCAGTTAGAATTAATTGCTGTCATTTGTAACAGTTAAATTGAGTTTTGGGTTTTTTTGTGGGGAGCAGTACTGGGGTTTGAACTCAGCTTTAGGCAGGCACTACCAATAAAGCCACACCCCAGACCTGTAAAGCAGTTAATTAACTGGTAATTATCACGTGCAAAGTACTTGTTAAGTTCCTGTGAGGATCTCTGTGTGATTGTGACCATATCTTTATGGAATTGTTACCCCAACTGGCTGATGAGTCACCTGAAATGTCAGAGAGGTGAGGAAATTTGCTTAAGGTCATTCATGTATGATCTTGTATTCATGTACTGGGCTGGTTGTTTCTGGATTTTATGAGCTTAATTACATACATTATTGCCTCAGGCTTTGCTATGTTTATCTATTCACCTAGATCTAACTGGGAAATTAGTTCTGATTCTAGTTTACACAAGAAATTTAGTTCTGGGGCTAGGAAGGTAGGTTAGTTGTAGAGTGCTTGCCTTGCATGCATGAGGCCCTGGTTTTGATTCCTCAGCACCACATAAGTAGAAAAAGCCAGAAGTGGCACTGTGGCTCAAGTGGTAGAGCACTAGCCTTGAGCTGAAGAGCTGAAGGACAGCATCTAGTCCCAGAGTTCAGGCCCCACAACAGATAAAAAATTTAGTTCTTCTGAGTGATGTTCAGAATATATGCATCCATAAGTGTGTGTGTGTGTGTGCACATGCGTGTGTATACACACGCACATGCACCAGTATTGGAACTTAAACTCAGGGCCTCGGCCCTATCCTCGGGGTTTTGCTCAAGTCTGTGCTCTACCACTTAAGCCACAGATCCATTTCCAGCTTTTTGATGGTTTTTGGAGATGATAAAGTCTAGGATTGCCGGGCCCTGGTGGCTCACGCCTGTAATCCTAGCTATTCAGGAGGCTAAGATCTGGGGATCGAAGTTCAAAGCCAACCCCGGGCAAGAAAGTCCATGAGACTGTTATCTCCAGTTAACCACCAGAAAACCGGAAGTGGCGCTGTGGCTCAAGTGGTGGAATGCTAGCCCTGAACTGAAGAGCTCAGGAACAGCGCCCAGGCCCAGAGTTCAAGACCCACAAAGAAGCAAAGAAATCATGGACTTTCCTACCTGAACTAGCTGTGAACTGTGTCCTCAGATTTCAGCCTCATGAGTAGCTAAGATTACAGGTGTGAGCCATCAATGTCCAGCTTATCATTTCCTCATGATAAAATACTCAAAATTCTTGGTTTTTTTGCTTCTTGTCAGTTGTGGAGCTTGAACTCAGGGCCTGGGGACCATCCCTAAACTTTTTAGCTCAAGTCTAGCACTGTACCACTTAGAACCACAGCACCACTTCTGGTTTTCTGTTGGTTAATTGGAAATAAAAGTCTCAGGGACTTTGCCACCCTGGCTGGCTTTGAACCACATCCTCAGATTTCAGCCTCCTGAGTAGCTAGGATTACAGGTATGAGCCACCAGCATCTGGGCCCATCTAGTTTTTGTAGGGTGACTAAACTTTTTTTTTAATTTTGTTATTATATAGGTGATGTACAAAAGGGTTACAGTTACACAGGTTCCCTAAACTTTAATACTAGGATGTAGTTTAATGGCAAAGTATTTTGCTGAAATGTTCAAGGGCCTAGGTTTGATTTCTATCACCTGCACACAAAAACTTTAAAAGTCCACTTAAAATTGATATGAAAGATCAACGCCTGGAGTGGTGGCACATGCCTGTGGTCCCAGAGATGAGGAGGCAGAGTGTAGGAGGGTCATATGTCAGAGAATCACCACTGAGGCCACCCGATGTAAAACCATGGGATCCTACCTCAATTTTATAAAGCTGAGCACTGGTAGCACTCCTAGCTACCCTTGAGGCTGATAGATCTAATCTGAGGATCACAGTTCAAAGCCAGGCAGGCAGGAAAATTAGTAAGACTAATAACAAAATAACAATCTGAAGTGGAGTTATGGTTCAAGTGGTAGAGTGCTACTCTTGAGCCAAAAAACAAATCTCAGAGACAGAGCTCAGGCCCTGAGTTCAAGCCCCAGGACCAGCACACACAGAAATTCTATAAGGAGAGCTGGGAAGGTGGCTCAGTGGTAGAGCACTTGCCTTGCATGCATGAGGCCCTGGGTTCAATTCCTCAGCACCACATAAGCAAAAAGAAAAAAGCCGGAAGTGGCACTGTGGCTCAAGTGGTAGAGCGCTAGCCTTGAGCTGAAATGCTGAGGGACAGCACCCAGGCCCAGAGTTCTGGACCCACGACTGGACCCAAAAAAAAAAAATCTATAAGGAAAAGAAAGGCAGACAGGCAGTCAGGCAGGAAGGAAGGAAAATTAAGATCCTTTGTAGATGATTGATGTATGCTAACATCAACAGGTCCTGTCAGAAGTAATTGGACTCTCCTGAGTGACTACAGGCCTTTTTTGTTTGTTTCTTTGTTATTGTTGTTGTTTTTTGTTTTTTTGATTTGTTGCCAGTCAGAGCATGGGCTCTGTCCCGGAGTTTCTTTTGCTCAAGGCTTGCAGCACACTACCACTTGAGCCACAGCACTACTTCTGGCATTTTCTGTTTATGTGGTACTGAGGAATTGAACCCAGGGCTTCATGCATGCAGGGCAAGCAGTCTACCACTAAGCCATATTCCCAGCCAGGCCTGTTTTTCTGTTGTTATTTTATTTTCTTGCTAGTAGTCCTGGGGTTTGAACTCTGGGCCTGGGCACAGTTTCTGAGCTTCTTTTTGTTTAAGGTAAGCACTCTACCACTTGAACCACAGCACCATTTCTGGCTTTTTTTGTCGGTTGTGGAGCTTGAACTCTGGGCCTGGGCGCTGTTCCTCAGCTCTTCAGCTCAAGGCTAGCACTCTACCATTTGAGCCACAGCGCCACTTCCAGCTTTTTCAGCTTATATGGTGCTGAGGAATTGAACCCAGGGCCTCATGTATGCAAGGCAAGCACTCTACCAGTTAGCCACCTTCCCAGCTCCCACTTCTGGCTTTTTTGAGTAGTTTATTGGAGATAAGAGTCTCACAGTTTCCTGCCCAGGCTGGCTTCAAACCTCAATCCTAAGATCTCAGCCTCCTTAGTAGCTAGAATTACAGATGTGAGCCACCAGCACCCTGTTACACGCCTGTTTTTTAGCATATATGGCATACTTAAAGGCCTACAGTACCTGTTTTAATGCCTTTTGTAACAATGTGTATAGCACTATTTAGAAAGGCTTAATCCTCATTTCAAGCCCTATTACCACTACTATAAAAAAACTTTTATCCATTTTATTATTTTTTTGAAAGCAAAAACTTCATTTTATTATAGTAAAAGGGCTGAGGTTTGGGATGGTGTAGATGCAGCAGGCAGGCAGCTATTGCCCTAGTTAACCTTGTATGCCCATACCCATGTCCAGGAAGGTCGCAAAGATGCTGCCACATGGCACTACACTTTTCCCAAATGTCACCCATCAGCTTCCAATTCCACATTGTAAACCTGAGATAGGAAAAGGTGCCAAAGAACTACCCCACACCATATCCATATCACAACCTATGACAGCCTATCTTCATATGGTCAAAGCAGTTGGTGGAGACTGGACCCACTGGCCACTGGCACTTCACTCTTGATCTTAGGAAAAAACCAAAGGACTTTTGTATTTTGGTACCGATCCTGGGGCTTGAAGTCAAGGTCTGGCCATTATCTCTGATTTTCTTTGTTCAAGGTAAGCACTCTACCACTTGAGCAATATCTCTACTTCTGGCTTTTTTTTTTGGTAGTGGGGAAGGGGTAGTTAATTTCAGTCTCACGAGCTTCCCTTCCCAGGCTGGCTTCAAATCCAGTCTTCAGATTTCAGCCTCCTGAGAGCTAGAATTACAGGTGTAAACCACCAGCTCCTAGCTTTTTTTTTTTTTGGCCAGTCCTTGGGCCTGAACTCTGGGTCTGGGCACTATCTCTCAGCTCTTCAGCTCAAGGCTAGCACTCTACTACTTGAGCCACAGCGCCACTTCTGGCTTTTTTTGCTTATGTGGTGCTGAGGAATCAAACTCAGGGCCTCATGCATGCAAAGCAAGCATTCTACCACTGAGCTACCTTCCCAGCCCCTCTGGCTCTTGTATATGAGGAATGGTACTTTATGTAAGCAATCAGTGTTATGATTCAGTTCATAAACTCATTGAAAAAATATGAAATAAACCATACAAACCTTTACGTTATTAGAGACCATGTAATTTCATGCAGGTATTAAATATGGATCAATTTTCACTTTAAGGGCAACCAACCAACTACAAATTGGCTGATTACAGGACTTCTCCATAAAAATGGAAACAAAATCATTACTCTGTTCATTGTAACCTTAGAAAGTAGTGATATAAGCGTGGTCTAGTAATATATGTCTATAATCACGGCATTTGGGAGTTAAGGCAAGACCAGCCTGGACTACATGAAGAGAACTTGTTTAAAAAAATAAACAGGAGCCGGGCGACAGTGGCTCACACCTGTAATCCTAGCTACTCAGGAGGCTGAGATCTGAGGATCACGGTTCAAAGCCAGTCCAGGCAGGAAAGTCCGTGAAACTCTTATCAGAAAACTGGAAGTGGTGCTGTGGCTCAAGCGGTAGAGCGCTCGCCTTAAGCTGAAGAGCGCAGGGACAGTGCCCAAGCCCAGAGTTCAAGCCCCATGACAAACAAACAGGGAGCCAGGTACCCATGGCTCATGCCTGTAATCCTAGCTACTCAGGAGGCTGAGATCTGGAGATCTCAGTTCAAACCAACCTAGGCAAGACAGTCCATGAGACTCATATCTCCAGTTAACCACTACGAAACCAGAAGTGGCACTGTAGCTCAAGTGGTAGAGCATTCACCTTGAGCTGAAGAGGTCAAGGACATCACCCAGGCAGAGTTCAAGCCTCACGACCGACCAAAAAAATTAAAAAATAAAAATACTGGGAATAGGGCTGGGAAGGTGGCTCAGTGGTAGAGCGCTTGCCTTGCATGCTCGAGGCCCTGGGTTCAATTCCTCAGCACCACATAAGCAAAAAGAAAAAAGCCGGAAGTGGCACTGTGGCTCAAGTGGTAGAGTGCTAGCTTTGAGAAGAGCTGAGGGACAGTGTCCAGGCCCAGAGTTCAGGCCTCATGACCGGACCCAAAAAAAAAAAAAATACTGGGAATGTGGCTTAGTGGTAGAGTGCTTACTTCCCTAGAATGTGTGAAGCCCTGGGTGCCATTCCTCAGTACCATATATACAGAAAAGGCTCAAGTGATAGGGTGGTAGGCTTGAGCAAAAGAAGCTCAGGGACAGTGCCCAAGACTGAGTTCAAGCCCCAGGACTGGCAAAAAATAAAGAAATAAAAAATAAACCAATGCTGGTGCTCATGGCTGACACCTATAATCCTAGCTACACAGAAGGCTGAGATCTAAGGATCAAGGTTCAAAGCTAGCCTGGGCGAGAACGTGCAGGAGAGCCAGGCCCTGGTGGCTCATGCCTGTAATCCTAGCTACTCAGGAGACTGAGATCTGACCATGGTTCAAAGTCAGCCCTGACAAAAGTCCTTGAGCCTCTCATCTCTAATTAACCACTTGAAAATCAGAAGTGGAGCTGTGGCTTAAGGTGGCAGAGCACTAGCCTTTAGGAGAAAAAATTAAGAATAGTGCTCAGGTCATGAGTTCAGGCCCCATGGCCAGGTAAAAAAAAGTCCAAGAGACTTTTATTTCCAATAAACCAGCAAAGGGCTAGGAAGTTGGCTCAGTGGTAGAGTGCTTGCCTCGTATGCATGAGGCCCTGGGTTCGATTCCCCAGCACTACATAAACAGAAAAAAGCTGGAAGTGGCGCTGTGGCTCAAGTGGTAGGGTGCTAGCCTTGAGCTAAAGAGCTGAGGGACAGTGCCCTGGCCCAGAGTTCAGCCCCCCTGACTGACAAAACTAACTAACTAAATAAACCAGCAAAAAGCCAGAACTGAAGCTGAGGCTCAAGTGGTAGAGTGCTAACCCTGAGCAAAAAAGCTCAGCCCCCCTGACTGACAAAACTAACTAAATAAACCAGCAAAAAGCCAGAACTGAAGCTGAGGTTCAAGTGGTAGAGTGCTAACCCTGAGCAAAAAAGCTCAGGGATAGGAGCTAGGAATGCATGAAGCCCTGGGTTTGATTCTTCAATACCACATAAACAGAAAAAGCTGAAAGTGGCACTGTGGCTCAAGTGGTAGAGTGCTAGCCTTGAGGTGAAGAGCTAAGGGACAGTGCCCAGGCCCAGAGTTCAGGCCTACAACCAGACCCCTCCCCCCAAAAAAAAGTTCAGGGACATAAACAAATAGATCAAACAAAGCAGCTGTCGCAATAGCAAGCATAGTAGTGGTTTTTTATTTAAGTGTTTGTGTGAGAGATTAGAAAGTATATTAAGAAATGAATACACTTTCAAATGACTGGAGTCATCTCTAGGAAGGAGAATGAATCATTTTCTTCTGGCACAAGTTTTGTGTTTTTCTTTTTTTTGTCAGTTGTGGGGCCTGAACTCGACCTGGGCGCTGTTCCTCAGATCTTCACTCAAGGCAAGTGCCCTACCACATGAGCCAAGCAGCACTTCTGGCTTTTTCTGCTTATGTGGTGCTGAGGAATCGAACCCGGGGCCTCATGTATGCAAGGCAAGCACTTTAGCCACCTTCCCAGCCTATTTTTAAGTGCAAGGGACTTAGAGCATTAAATTTCTTCCAAGGACCTGGCAGAGTCACTATTCCCAGGGTTGGTTGATGTTTACTGAATTATATTTGACCTCTAGGACATGGATCACTGTCCAGAGTGGATACATTAAATATCTATTGTTTCAGAACAATTTGTTGACCCACCTTGGAGTAGAATTAAGTCCATCCTTTTTTTTTTTTTTTTTTTAGTCATGGGCCTGAACTCTGGGCCTGGGTGCTGTCCCCCAGCTCTTCAGCTCAAGGCTAGCGCTCTACCACTGAGCCACCTTCCCAGCCCGACCATTGTGGCTTTTGTCCCGCTTTTTTTTATAAACAAGATTGGCCAGATTTTAATAGAAACCACTCTTGCATAAATCCCCACAAAGCTCCTTTTGTCCGACGTGGGGACGACTGGTTCCATTTTTTAACGTCTCAGTGAGAGCAAGAATGGCACATCTGGGTCCTGGTGACACTTCTCCACTCCCCTCTGTGGCCCGTAATCGCTCACGACCGCTCTCTTTGGTCCAGCCTCGGAAACCACGGTTACACGGAAACCAACAAGCCTCAGAAAACTACAATTCCCGTCAGGCGTCATTGCAGGGGACGCCGACGTGTCGTAGCGGTTAGCTATCCCGGGCTGCTTCCGGTTCCTGGCCTCAGAGGATGAGGCTTCGTGGGCGCGCACCCTCTCTAGCCACCGAGGCAAGGCGCTGAGGCGCAAAGACGCCCGCGACGGGCCGCATCACGTGACGCGCGGCGTACCTTGATAAGCGCGCGCTTGCGCGTGTCCCGGGGAACCGCTGACGGTAGTGCGCGCTTCCAAGAGGCGGAGGCGGAGGCGGGGGCCGGACCAGCCAAGGGCTGCGGGAGTCGCTGGGCCCGACGGAGTGGGAGGGTGAGGCGAGCTCCGAGACGGCGACGACGACATTCCGAGCTAGCCCTTGAGGCCGAGTGGAGAAGATGCTGTGGTTCCAGGGCGCCATTCCGGCCGCCATCGCGTCGGCTAAGAGGAGCGGCTCGGTCTTCGTGGTGTTCGTGGCAGGTGAAGGGGGCGGGGGCTGGAGCTGCGGCTGCGGTCGGGACATCCCCCACCCCCAACCCCCGCCCCAATCCGGCCTGTCTCGCGTCTTACCCCGGACGCCAGGCGGCCCTCGCGGCACAGCCAGCCAGAACCCGCCGCCGGCTCCCCTCCGGGGCCGGCTCAGCCCCGAGCCCCAGCTCCTTGAGGGCCCGTAGGGGGCCTCCCTGGCGGGTCCGGAGTCCTGCAGGCCTGAGCCCGGGCGGGCCGCACCGTGCGGCCTGGGCCCCGCGGCGCGCGGAGCCCGACGTGGGGAGCAGCTGCCGGCAGGCCCTCCCCGGGAGCCTGGCCCCGAGCGTCCCGGCCGCTTCCCAGCCAGGCCGCCCGAGGAGTGGTCGCGGGCGGACCCGGCGCGTCTCCCCCAGTCCTTTTGCTCAGCCCTGGGTTTTCTGTCTGTCCTGCCCCGTTTGGGGTGCCTTGGCGCTGGTTTAGCTCGCCCTGTGCTGGCGGGGTGGGAACCGAGCGTTAGGCTTCTTCCACCAAGTGGTAGTGGACTGTCAGAAAGCTGTGTCATCGGTTCGCAACAAAGAGAAACCACCTGATGGTCACGGTTGCTGGGGGTGGCAGTGTGTTTCTGGGATGTAAACTTTCCAGTTCTAAATAGGTTACCTTCTTTTTTGTGTTCGTGCTAAGGAAAGAGGGTGTCTAAAGTTGCAGAACTGCTTCGTTCCAGACGGAGTTTGAATCTCTTTTTTTCTTTCTTTTTTTAACCATTAGTTTTAGAGAAGTACACATTGGATCTGTGGTTCTTTATTTTGCTGTCTTTCTAGCCTAAAGTCTACAGTTCTCCAGGACGTGTACTACAGTTATCCTATGTTGCTCTGTGTTTTTCGGTGCGGGTTCTGGGGCTTGAACTCAGGCCTTGGGCCCTGTTCCTGAGCAAGGCTCTACCACTTGAGCCACATCTCCACTTTGGGCATGTATGTGTGTATATATACACATATGTGAATATGTATATATGTGTACATGTATATATGTGTGTGGGTGTATATACACACACACGCATTTACTTTTTGTTATTAAGGTGTTGTACAGAGGCGCTACCATTTATTTTACAAGTCAGGTAATGAGTAACTTTTGGCTTTTAATAGTTGATCGTAGATGAGTCTCACAGACTTTCCTGCCCCCCCCTCCCCCGGCTTGGAACCATGATCCTCTGATCTCAGCCTCCTGAGTAGCTAGAATTAGAGGCGTCCAGCCTACTCTGGGTTATTTTGTCTCGTGTTCTGTGGTAAACCGTCTTCTTTTGTGGGATTGCTTGTTCTTTTTACTGGGACTGCTTTTTTGTTACAGGGACTAATTTGAAGTGTTTTACTCATAATTGACATTTTTTTTTTTTTGCCAGTCCTGGGGCTTGAACTCAGGGCTTGGGCACTGTCCCTGATCTTTTGCTCAAGGCTACAGCTCCACTTCCACCATTTTTCCGTTTATGTAGTACTAAGGAATCAGATCTAGGGCTTTGTGCATGTTAGGCAAGCACTCTACCGCTTAGCTATATTCCTACCCATCACACACATCTTTTAGTAGTTCCATTACTATGCACTGCTGAGAGGAACAGATTCCTGAAATATAATTTAATTTAGCTTTCTGTTTGAAATTTGTAATTGTTTGTATGCTACTTTTATTTTTTATTTATTTTTGGGGTCCGGTTGTGGGGCCTGAACTCTGGGTCTGGGCGCTGTCCCCTTCAGCTCTTCAGCTCAAAGCTAGCGCTCTACCACTTGAGCCACAGCGCCACTTCCAGCTTTTTTCTTTTTGCTTATGTGGTGCTGAGGAATCAAACCCAGGGCCTCAGACATGCAAGGCAAGCGCTCTACCACTGAGCCATCTTCCCAGCCCCTGTATGCTACTTTTAAAATTTTATTTTTGTGCTTGAGTAGTTTAGATGCTGATATGCTGTCTGTTCTGGAGCTATATTATACTTTACACTAACAAACTGTTGCTATAATCCAGTAAAGATAAAAGTGGGTTAAAATGAAAGGAGATCTGTGACATGGTGCTCATTATGAGTTCAACGATAGGTTTGTGGTACTTAAATTGGGTTCTTTTTTTTTTTTTTTTGTCGGTCATGGGGCTTGAACTCTGGGCCTGGGCCGCTGTCCCTCAGCTCTTCAGCTCAAGGCGAGCGCTCTACCACTTGAGCTACAAAGCCACTTCCGGTTTTCCAGTGGTTTTTATTGGAGATAAGAGTTTCACAGACTTTTCTGCCTGGGCTGACTTTGAACTGTGATCCTCAGATCTCAGACTCCTGAGTAGCTAGGATTATAGGCATGAGCTACCGGTGCCTGGCTTAAATTGAGTTCTTCATGTAAAATTTTATTTGATCCTTATGGTTAGTAGGTTTGTAGATGATGAACTTATGCACAAAGTCATAAAGAAACTTCCACCAGGGTCACAAAAATAATTTACATCTTTTTTTTTTTTCTGGTCCGGTCCTGGGGCCTGAACTCTGGGCCTGGGCGCTGTCCCCCAGCTCTTCAGCTCAAGGCTAGCGCTCTACCACTTGAGCCACAGCGCCACTTCTGGCTTTTTTTCTTTTTGCTTATGTGGTTCTGAGGAATTGAACCCAGGGCCTCAGGCATGTAAGGCAAGCGCTCTACCACTGGGCCACCTTCCCAGCCCCAATAATTTACAATCTTAACAGTCAAAAATTTTAAAGCCTTGCTTTTTTGTTGGGAAAAAACTAAACTACTGTTTACATTTAAATTAATGATGAGGAAATGAGGAAATCTAGGATTAAGGTAGTCATGTTTTTGAACAAAAAAAAGTCCCACGATTCATAATTATAACCATTCGAAGAGGTACTCTTCTTTATGTGGGGGGGAGGGGTGGGAGGCGGTAGGGGTAATGAATGTGTCCCCATCCATCTGGGGGATGGAATTCAGGGCCTGGGCACTATCCCCAGAGCTTTTTTGTCCAAGGCTCTGCTATCTACCACTTGAACCACAGATCCACTCTGACTCTTTGCTTGTTAATTGGATGTAATAGTATCCTAACTTACTTAGATCTCAGCCTTCTGAGTAGCTAGGATACAGGTATGAGTCACCTGTGTTCATCTCAAAAACACTCTTCAAGGTTATCAGTAAATTTGAAACAAGTGCTGACTCTCCCCTTACCCTCCTCGAGCCTCAGTGTTTTATGCTGAGAAAAAGCTCTACTGCTGAGCTCACACTTAGCCTAAATTATTAGGCTTAAATGAACATATTTGAAACTCAGAAACACTAGTGTACAGTTTTGTACTTTAAAGGCTTTGTGCATTGTAGATATACACACATACACGTGTTTATGAGTATACTCACTGTACATATATCTAAACACTGGACTGATAAAAACTGTTAATACAACTTGCCTAGAGTTTTTTTTTCTTCATAACTTTGAGGAATATATCCAGAATTTTGATTGTTTCAATTTTGTTATTGTTGTTTGCCAATCTTGGGTCTTTGTTTATCTCAGGACCTGGGCATTGGCTTTTGCTTAAGGCTAACACTTTACCACTTGAGCTATAGCTCACTTCTGGCTTTTTTGGTAATCAATTGGAGATAAAAATCTTACAGACTTTCCTGCTAGGGCTGGCACAACCTTGGTCCTCTAATCTCAGCCTCGTGAGTAGCTAGGATTACAGGAGTAAGTCACTAGTGCCAGGCTCAGAAATTGTTTTCCTTTCTCTCTCTCTCTCTTTTTTTTTTTTTTTTGGTCAGTCATGGGGCCTGAACTCTGGGCCTGGGTGCTGTCCCTCAGCTCTTCAGCTCAAGGCTAGCACTCTACCACTTGAGCAGTACCACTTCCAGCTTTTTCTGCTTATGTGGTGTTGAGGAATCAAACCCAGGGCCTCATGCATGCAAGGCAAGCACTCTTCCACTGAACCACCTTCCCAGCCAGAAATTTTCTTATGTATTAGACATCAACAGTGATATACTAACTTAATGCAAAATTAAAAGATATCTTTATAGTTGAAGGAGTGATCTTAATAAGCACATATGTTGATTTACAGAAGTATTTAAGGAGGAAATCTTTTAGGTGAGTTTATTAATTTTCTTTTAGAGACTGGGTCCTTCAATACTGTGTAAGCTGGCCATAACTCTTCTTCCTGCCTCAGCCTCCCAAGTAGCTGACACTGTAATTGTGTGTGTGTGTATGTGTGTGCACACACTCCAATATCAGTGCCAGACTGGGGCTTGAACTCAGAGCCTTGTGTGCACTCCATTCATGCTCTACCACTTGAGCCACACCTTCACTTCCAGCTTTTTTGCTGGTTAATAGGAAATAAGAATGTTATGGACGGGGCTGGGAAGGTAACTCAGTGGTCGAGTGCTTGCCTCACATGAATGAGGTCTTGAGTTGGATTCCTGAGCACCACATAAGCAGAAAAAAACTGGAAGTGACTCTGTGGCTCAAGTGGTAGAGCACCAGCCTTGAGCTGAAGAGCTGAGAGACAGTGCCCTGGCCCAGAGTTCAGGCCCCAAGACCGACCAAAAAAAAAAAAAAGGATGTCATGGCCATGGCACAGGCTCACTCCTGTAGTCCTAGCAACTCAGGAGGCTGAGATCTGAGGATCACAATTCAAGCCAGGGTGGACAGGGAAAGTCCGTGAGACTCTTACCTGCAATAAACCACTAGAAAACCAGAAGTAGCACTGTGGCTCAAGTGGTAGAGTGCTTGTTTTGAGCTGAAGAGCACAGGGACAGCTCCCAAGCCCAGAGTTCAAGCCCCATGACCAACCCAAAAAAAAAAGGAATGTTATGGACTTTTTGCCCTAGCTGGCTCATCAGATTATCCTGAGTGGCTAGAATTACAAGCTTGTGCCACCAAGTCCTGCCTGGGTGACACTGTAATTCATGGATGAGTTAATGTAGAGTTGATGTTAGGAGACTATAGTGATACTACTACCACAAGCCAGCAAATGAACAAGAATTTTCAGTTGCAGGTATTTAAATTTAAAGAAGTATAAACGAAGGTTGTTTGTTTCAGTAGAATAATCTGACAAGGATCCTGAAGCAAAGATCTATTCCCTTGTGTTGTGAGACAGACTAAAATTTGTTAATGTCAGACACCACTGATTGTCTTTTTGGTTAACATTAGACTACAAAATCTTTAGGTTTTGAGCATTGAAACATTGATGTTTTTTGTTTTAAGTTGGAAGGGCATGTTTTAAATTGGAAGTGTGAGAATACAGCTAATTCTGAGTCAGTTTGTGTTCTACCCCACCCTTAGTGTGTCAGGCCTTGGGGTTCCACTTCTGGATGTTTGGTGGGTAATTAGAGATAAGTGTCTCATGGACTTTTTGATACTGGCGCTTCAACTCAGGGCCTCAAGCCTTTACTCCGCTCTTTTGATCACACCTGGTTCTCTATTACTTGAGCTATACTTCCAAGAAATAGCAAGAAAGTAAAATGAAATTAGTTTGGATATGTATTTCGAGACCTCAGGTGAAGTACCTGAGGGCCCTTATGAGTATACTTTGGCTTTTAATTTCAAGAAGATGGGACCAGGAAAACCTAGATAGGAGGTTGTCATCTAGATGAGATGTGATAGCTTGAGTAAGGGTTGATAGCTTGAATCAGGATGGTAGACATGGAAATAAAAGAGGTATTTATTTTAATGTATTTTAGAGATACCATCAACCAAGTCAATGATAATGGTTTTTTGTTGTCATTTTTGCTTTTGTTTGTTCACTTGCTATAAAACCTAGATAGTTTTATGATATTAACTAGGCACTCCTGGAAAAGACCAGTTTTCAAGTTTGGTAGAAAATAGTGTTTGTGGGGTTGTATTTTATTTGAAGTTCCTGTTCAGGGAAAAGAATTCACCAGCAAGTTCTGTCTTTATATTTTAAGAATTCTTGAACTGTTTTTCAGGTGATGATGAACAGTCTACACAGATGGCTGCAAGTTGGGAAGATGAGAAAGTGACAGAAGCATCTTCAAACAGTTTTGTTGCTATTAAAATTGATACCAAAAGGTTTGCTTATGTTTTAATCTTATTGCTTCTCATTTTATAATAATGTTCTTTAGTTTTGATTTATGCTATAAATTTACACTCATATTAATATGTTCATATTCTTAGAATATAAGAGTGTAGATGTTGAGCCAGATGCCGGTGGTTCACGCCTATAATCCTAGCTACTCAGGAGGCTGAGAGCTGAGGATCGCGGTTCAAAGCCAGCCCAGGCAAGGAAACTCCAGTAAACCACCAGAAAACCGGAAGTGGCATTATAGCTCAAATGGTAGAGCCCTAGCCTTGAGCTGAAGAGCTGAGGGACAGCACTCAGGCCCAGAGGTCAAGCCCCACCAACCACACACACGCATGCACGCACGCACACACACACACACACACACACACACACACACACGAATGTAGATGTGATATTTATAGGTACCTAAGGAATAATAGGAACTTCATTCTGATCATTATTTTGAACTTCATCATTATCTTTTTTTAAGATGTTCATAATTGGGCCTGTTGCTGGTGGCCCATGCTTGTAATCCTGGCTACTCAGGAGGCTGAGATTGGAGGATTGCAGTTCAAAGCCAGCCTGGGCAAGAAAGTCTGTGACACTTTTATTTTTTTTTTGAACTCTGGGCCTGGGCGCTATCCCTCAGCTCTTCAGTTCAAGGCTAGCGCTCTACCACTTGAGCCACAGTGCCACTTCCAGCTTTTTTTTCCTGTTTATGTGGTGCTGAGGAATTGAACCCAGGGCCTCATGCATGCAAGGCAAGCACTCTACCACTGAGCCACCTTCCCAGCCCTATGACACTCTTATCTCCAGTTAACCACCAGAAAAATGGAAGTGGCACTGTGGCTCAAGTAGTAGAGCATTCACCTTGAGCTGAAGAGCTAAGGGACAGCGCCCAGGCCCCACTACCAAACTCCCTACCCCCAAAAAAGAAAGATGTTCATAATTGATTTTGCCTATACTGGTGCTTAAACTCAGGGCCTCACTCTGTCACTCAGTTTCATAGCTCATAACTAGTGTCCTGACACTTGAGCCACACCTGCACTTCTGGCTTTTTCCTGACCAACTGAACATGTGAATTTCAGATTTGTCTCCCTGAGCTAGCTTTCAATCTCAGCTAGTTTTCAGCTCTCAGACTCCTGAGTAAGTAAGATCATAGGCATGAGCTACCAGTGTCTAGTCTTTTTTTTTTTTTTTTGCTTTTTGCTTATGTGGTACTGAGGAATCAAACCCAGGGCCTCAGGCATACAAGGCAAGCGCTCTACCACTGAGCCACCTTCCCGACCCCTCAGTGTCTAGTCCTACAATTTTGTCTTGCTAAAACATTTCACTGACTGGAGTTGTGCTTCAAGTGGCAGAGTACCAGCTATAATTAGGAAAAAATTTGAATACAAAGTCCTGACTTCAAGTTCTAGTATTAACACCAAAAAAATTGGAAGTTTTTCTAGGGTACAAAATATGTCTTTTTCTTTTCTTTTTTCTGGTCCTAGGGCTTGAACTTAGGGCCTAGCTCTTTTGCTCAAGGCTAGAGCTCTACCACTTTGAGCCAGTTCTGGTTTTCTAGTGGTTAATTGGAACTAAGAGTCTCACAGACTTTCCTGCCCTGGCTGGTTTTGAACTGCAATTCTCAGATTTCACCCTCTTGAGTAGCTAGGATTACAGGTGTGAGCCACCAGCACCTGGCTAATTTTTCCTTTTTATGATTGCCTAATCTTTTTTTTTTTTAAGTGGGCTGGTCCTGGGGCTTGAACTCATAGCCTGGGCACTGTGTATCATTTGAGCTACAGCTCTACTTCTGACTTTTTTGGCGTATTTAATTCTAGTCAAATGGACTTTTCTGCCTGGGCTAGCTTCAAACTATGATCCTCTGATCTCAGCCCCCTGAGTAGGATTATAGCCATGAACCACCAACACCTGCCTTAGACATTTAAGTTTTTTAAAATCATTTTTTAAATTTATTTTTTATTTTTTGTTGGTCATGGGGCTTAAACTCTGGGCCTGGGCACTATCCCTGAGCTCTTCAGCTCAAAGTGAGCACATTCTACTGCCTGAGCCAGAGCACCACTTCTGGTTTTCTGGTAGTTAATTCGACATAAGAGTCTCACAGGCTTAGCTGCCTGGACTGGCTTTGAATCGTGATCCTCAGAGCTCAGCCTCCTGAGTAGCTAGGTTACAGGCGTGAGCCACCAGTGCTTGGCTAGAATAATTTTTATTACAGATTATTATGTTATCACATACACCAGTAAATCATGGTTATTTTTTTTTTTTTTTGGTCCGGTCGTGGGGCCTGAACTCTGGGCCTGGGCACTGTCCCTCAGCTCTTCAGCTCAAGGCTAGTGCTCTACCACTTGAGTCACAGCACCACTTCCAGGTTTTTTCTTTTTGCTTATGTGGTGCTGAGGAATCGAACCCAGGGCCTCAGGCATGCAAGGCAAGCACTCTACCACTGAGCCAACTTCCCAGCATCATGGTTATTTTTTCTATACGTTAATCTTGGTATTAGATCACAGTTTGCTGCTTAGGAAGTAACTTGATAGATTGATACTGGTGATTGGTACAGTAAAAACTTTTAAAACAACTCAGTTTGGTAAGTAGTTGTATTAGTTTAGTGACTTTTTTTTCCTGTTTGATTTTTTTTTTTTCTTTACAGTGAAGCCTGTCTACAATTTTCACAAATCTGTATCCTTTCAATGAAGTACTGGGGGTTTTTGTGTGCAAACGTATACACATACTACATTTTACTTTTTTGGCCAATTCAAAATTTAGAATGTGGCTTAGTAGTAGAGTACTTGCCTCGCATACATGAGGCCCTGGTTTTGATTCCTCAGCACCACAAAAACAGAAAAAAGCTGGAAGTGGCACTATAGTTCAAGTGGTAGAACGCTAGCCTTGAGCTGAAGAGCTCAGGGACAGCACCTCACAACCAACCGAAAAAAAAAAGTTATTCTTTTAATCTTGTTTGTGGAAACTTTATATTACAAAGTTTTTTTCCAGGGGAAGCAATATGGGGCAGTTGAGATGTTAGAAGGAATAGGCAAGGCAAGATATATGTAATAGCAAGATGGATATAAAAGAATAGAGGAAAATGTTCTTTACTTAAATGTGCTGTGCAAATTATGTGTCAAATTAGGAGTTATAAATATTACAGGTTGTATTATGAAAATAAAGATTTACTTTATCAAAACCTTTTATTTCGCATGAATTGTTAGACTTAATCAAACCGTACAGATCCTGTAGTATGTATTCCATCCAGTTTCTTTATTGGAGACAGTGGAATTCCTTTGGAAGTAATAGCAGGAAGCGTTTCGGCAGAAGAACTTGTTGCAAGAATTCACAAAGTCCGGCAGGTGAGCAGAAGCTAGAACTGTTCTTTGCATAAATGTATCTGGAAAAATTCTTAAGAATTTTGACACCGGGATGTTATTGGATCCCCCTGTATACTCAAGAATTTGCTATTCCATTAAACTTCCTTTTTTCTCCTTCTTCCCTTCTTTACTTCTCCATCTCTCTTTTTTTTTTGGTATGTTTTGCTTGCTTTTGGTGGGACTAGGTGTCACTATGCTCTAGATTGATCGTGCAACTCTGTATCAAGATGGCCTTAAACTCTCTTTTTTTTTGGGGGGGGGTGGAGGGGCACTCCTGGGGCTTGAACTCAGGGCCTGGGCACTATCCCTGAGCTGCTTTTGCTCAAGTCTAGCACTCTATCACTTGAGCCACAGTGTCACTTCCAGCGTCTTCTGTGGTACTGAGGAATCAAACCCAGGGTTTCATGCATGCTAGGCAGGCATTCTACCATTAAGCCACATTCCCAGCCCCTGTCCTGAAACTCGAACTTCTTCCTTAGTCTTCTATGTGCTGTAATTGTAGGTGTATACCATCACTCTTTGTTTATGTCATTAACCTTAAAAAGTAGTAAATAAAGCTTCCTGTATTTACAGAACTTTTTTTGTTTGTTTGAGTCAGAGTCACACTATGTTTTCTGGGCGGGTCTCAAATTCCTGAACTCTAGTCTTAGCCTTCTGAGTAGTAAGCATTTGAGGCTGGCTGGAACTTGAGATCATTCTGCCTCAGCCTCCTAAATGCTGGGATTACAGGTCTCTGGATTAGTTTTGAAAATAGTATTATGAAGATAGAGATGACCCTGTATCTCAGTTATCACTTGAATATTCTTTTTTCTCCATCCTAGTAGAAAGTTGTAGGAGAGAGTTGCTGACACATCAAGATTCTAGCTATACATTGGTTCATATAATAGCTTATAGCTTTCTTGAATTCTGATTTGAAAGGAATTCTAGTTTTGTGTGTGTGTGTGTGTGTTTTGGAAATCTAGTTTTTTAATTTAAAAACATTTTTTTCAGGGATAATACTAAGGTTGAACTCAGGGCCTTGAGCTCTTTTGCTTGACTTTGTTGGTTTTCTTTACCATTGGTATTCTACTACTTGAACCACACTTCCAGTCACGCAGTTTTGCTGATTAATTAGAGATAGTCTTACAGAAATTTCTGCCTGAGTAGGCTTCAGCCACTCCAACCTGACATTCTTTTTTTGTTGTTGTTAATTAGCATATATTAGAAATACAGAGGATTTCACTGTTTTATTTCCACACATATGTACAGTGTAATCCAATTGATATCCCCAACTCTATCATTCTCCCTTACTCTCCACCCCCTAGTACAGTTTCAAAAGGTTTCATTGTCTTTTTTGTCCTTTTATTTTGGTCAGTCGGTCATGGGGCTTAAACTCTGGGCCTAAGCTACCCCTCAGCTCTTCAGCTCAAGGCCAGTGCTCTACCACTTGAACCACAGCACCACTTCTGGTTTTCTGGTGGTGTATTAGAGATGAGTCTCACAGACTTTTCTGCCTGGGCTAGCTTTGAACCACAATCTTCAGCCTCCTCAGTAGCTAGGATTACAGGCATGAACCACCAGCACCTGGCTTCATTGTCTATTTTTGTACATGCAGACAGACTACTTATTCATCCTTGTTTATCCTTCCTGCTATTCTAATCCTTTCCTGCAAGTACCCACCCCCCAAGAGAGGTTATTCATGCATGCATGTCCATGAATGTATATGTAATTTTTTTATGAGATTTTGTACTGAGTTCCATAGTGATCACATTAGTGTACATTCCCACCAACAGTGTATGAATTTCACCAATATTGGTATTTTGTTTTTAATGATTGACATTCTGATTGGGATGAAATAAAATCTTAATTTGGTTTTGACTTGGATTTCTTTTATAGCTAAGGGTGTTAAATATTTTTTCATGTATCAGCTATTTTCATGTATCAGCTATTTCCGAGAACTGTCCAGTTCGCTTGTCAATTTATTAATTGATTATTTGTTGTTATGCTGTTTAGTTTTTTGAGTTCTTTGTATTCCAATTTGTTTGCTCCTCAGATGCATTTACTGAAAGGTGAAACATCAGTGGCAAGTGGCAGCCAGTCAGAAAGTCCAATGTCTACTTCATTTGCCTCATTTGAACCTAACAGCACTTCTGAAAATTCTCAGTCAAGAAACACAGGTTGTAAGACATCACCTACTTCTGATACAAACCTAGATACTGCAACAGGTAATTTTTTTCTCTTTGAGACAGCATCTCACTATATAGCACAGTCTAGTCTCCCAACTTCAGAGTTCTTTTGCTTCTACCTCCCAAATGCTGGAATAATAGGTACATATTATCACACCTAGCTCCAATAGTTGAGCCTTTTTATACCTTTTTATGTATAGTAAAAGTATTGCTTTATTCCATTTTAAAGGGCCGGGATTGAGGCTGAAGGTAAGGTTCAAGTGGTTGAAGTACCTGCCTAGCTAACATGAAGTTCTGAGTTCAAACCTCATTTCTGCTAAGAAACCAACTAATCATACAAAAGAAAACCAAGTTCAGTGATGGGTCACTTTTGTAACATAGGCAAACTCTAGATTTGATCCCCAGCACTACTTATAAAAAGTGCTTTGAGGGCTGGGAAGGTAGCTCAGCGGTAGAGTGCATGCCTTGCAAGCATGAGGCCCTGGGTTCGATTCCTCAGCACCATATAAACAGAAAAAGCCGGAAGTGGCGCTGTGGCTCCAGTGGTAGAGGGCTAGCCTTGAGCTGGAGAGTAGAGGGACAGCGCCCAGGCCCAGGTTCAGGCCCCATGACCAGCAAAAAAAATAATAATAATAAAATAAAAAATAAAAAGTTCTTTGAGGGCTGGAAATGTGGCTTAGTGGTAGAGTGCTTGCCTACCATTCATGAAGCCCTGGGTTTGATTCCTCAGAACCAAATAAACGGAAAAAGCCAGAAGTGGTGCTGTGGCTCAAGTGGTAGAGTGCTAGACTTGGGACTGTGCCCAAGCCCTGAGTTCAAGCCCCACAACTGGCAAAACTTATTTTTTTAATAGTCATTTAATTTGAAATTTAAGTTAAAATTTAGAGTGTTATTTATTAATTATATGGCAGAAAATAATATCAGTGAATGTGCCTTTTTAAAATTTCCTGAAGAATAGTTTTATTACTTTGTTTTCCATTAGTATAATAAAATGTGTGAGATAAGCACAGTTAGTATGAAGAAAGGTTTACATTAGCTCCTAGTTGAGGAAGTTTCAGTTCATCATCAGTTGACTCCATTGCTTTGCCTTGTGCCTGACAAAGCTATTTATGTTAGGCCAGGAAGCAAAAGGAAGAAAGCAAGCAAAAGAGACTGAGACCTGCAGTCTCCTTTGAGTGTAAGACCTTCCACTGGTCTTGACCTCCTTTTTTTTTTTCCTTGTACTAGGATTTGAACTTAGGACCATCTACTCACTTGTCTTGTTTGTTCAGTGTTGCTCTACTACTTGAGCCATATCTTCAGCTTGGCTTTTTGCTGTTTTATTTTTATTATGAATGTGCCTTTTTACTCTGAGATAGTCTATGGCTCAAAATAGTTGATTAGTCTTTTTTTTTTTCTACTGGACCACATTTTATTTGTGGATAGTTACTAAGACTTTATTAAATAAAGGCCCCAGGCCTTGCTGTACATTTCCTTTCTTTTTATAAATTTTTTTATTATTACAAAGGTGATATATACAGTTACATAAGTCAGGTAAAAAGTACATATCTTTTTGGACAATGTCACTGCTTCCCTCATTTTTTTTCTAATGTATGTAGTTCAGGAAATGTCATTATGACACTTAGCAATTTTATTACTCCATGCCTAGAGGATTTTCAGTGGATCAGATGAGCTGCTATCTTTGGAATTGTTTTTACAAATGGCTAACATGCTGTACAAGCCAGACACTGGTGGCTCATACCTGTAATCCTAACTCAGGAGGTTGGGATGTGAGGATCATTATTCAAAGCCAGTCCAGGCAGGAAAGTCTATAAAATTCTAACCTCCAATTAACCACCAGAAAACAGGAAGTGTTGCTGGATCAAAGTGGTAGAGCACAATCTTGGACAAAAGAGCTCAGGGGACAGCGCACCCAGGCCCTGAGTTCAAGCCCCATGACCGACAAGTACATGCTTAAAAAAAAGAGTCTGTTCTTTTTTTTTTCTTCTCTTCTTGCTTCCCTTGTTTTAGTGCTGGTTTAGGGTTTGAACTTAATGACTCATGCTCATGCATGAGATGACTTTATTGCTCATGACTGGCACTCTACTACTTGAATAATGCCTACAGTCTGGAGAATTGTATTTCTTTTTTTTTTTTTTTGTCGGTCGTGGGGCTTGAACTCTGGGCCTGAGCGCTGTCCCTCAGCTGTTCAGTTCAAGGCAAGTGCTCTACCACTTGAGCTACAGCGCCACTTCTGGTTTTCTGGTGGTTTATTGGAGATAAGAGTTTCACGGACTTTCCAGACTGGGCTGGGTTTGAACCATGATCCTCAGATCTCAGCCTCCTGAGTAGCTAGGATTACAGGCTTGAGCTGCAGCCCCGCTTCCAGTTTTCTGGTGGTTTATTGGAGAGTCTCACGGACTTTCCTTCCCGGGCTGGCTTTGAACCGTGATCCTCAGATCTCAGCCTCCTGAGTAGCTAGTATTACAAGTGTGAGCTACCGGCACCCGACTCTTGCACTATTCTTTCTTTCTTTTTTCTCTTTTGAAATTCTTTATTGTGATTAAGTGATAACATAATTTCCCAAATTTCACAGTATTGTGGGATAGTGATGCTTAGTTAAAGTCACAAACACATTCTAACTGTCTATCATAGTCTATGAGTTCTATGAGCTTTGCAATACAGTTATCTCTTCCACATTGGGTAATATATACATTTCTTTTGTTTTGCATAGTATCAGCTGTTCCCTCTTTCCCACTTGTTCCCTCTCTCCCATCGCTGCCCTTGAGTTGCTTAGTTCATTTTGATCAGTGTCCAGTCTTTAATTATTCTTATATAATACTTTTGTATAATGTTTAAGAAACAATCTCGCCGGGTGCTGGTGGCTCACGCCTGTAATCCTAGCTACTCAGGAGGCTGAGATCTGAGGATCGCGGTTCAAAGCCAACCCGGGCAGGAGAGACCGTGAGACTCCTATCTCCAATAAACCACCAGAAAACCGGAAGTGGCGCTGTAGCTCAAGTGGTAGAGCGCTCGCCTTGAGCTGAAGAGCTGAGGGACAGCGCCCAGGCCCAGAGTTCAAGCCCCACAACCGACAAAAAAAAAAGAAACAATCTCATGGGGCTGGGAACGTGGCTTAGTGGTAGAGTGCTTGCCTAACATGCATTAAGCCCTGGGTTTGATTCTTCAGTACCACATAAACAGAAAAGTCCAGACATGGTGCTGTGGCTCAAGTGATAGAGTGCAAAAAAACCCAGCTAATGGACAGTGCCCAGGTCCTGAGTTCAAGCCCCAGTCCTAGCCAAAAAAGAAAGCAAAGAAAAAGAAACAAGCTCACTAACAAGTTTATCTTTAACTTAGAAGAACTAAACCCTTTAAAAAATTAAATGCAGGAGCTGGGAAGGAGGCTCAGTGGCAGAGCACTTGCCTTGCATGCCTAAGGCCTTGGGTTCGATTCCCCAGCACCACATAAGCAAAAGGAAAAAAGCCAGAAGTGGCACTATGGTAGAGCGCTAGCCTTGAGCTGAAGGGCTGAGGGACAGCGCCAGGCCCAGAGTTCAGGCCCTATGACTGGACCCCCCAAAAAAAATAAATAAATAGATATATGCATATATATATATATATAAATTAAATGCAGTATTCTTTGTTTTCATTTTATAATTAAGGAGGAGCAAGTTCAAGCCATGTTCCTCCCTCTCAAGAGAATAATGGTTGTTCAAATGAGAGATCTGCAGAGGACCTCACCGTCAGAGTGGAAAGGTTTGTATTTTTGCAAGTTTTTTTGTTTGTTTTTTTGTTTTTTGTTTTTTTTTGGTCATGGGGCCTGAAATCTGGGCCTGGGCGCTGTCTTCCAGCTCTTTAGCTCAAGGCTAGTTCTCTACCACTTGAGTCACTATGCTACTTCCAGTTTTTTCTGCTTCTGTGCTTCTGAGGAATCGAACCCAGGGCCTCATGCATGCAAGGTAAGCACTCTACCACTGAGATATCTTCCCAGCCCAGAATTTTTTTTTAAATAGGTTTCTAGGGTTGGGTGCTGGTGGCTTACTCCTGTAATCCTAGCTACTCAGGAGGCTGAGATCTGAGAACCACAATTCAAAGCCAGCCCAAGCAGGGGGAAAGTCCATGAGACTCTTAGCTCCAATTAACCACCAGAAAACAGGAAGCGGCCCTGTGGCTCAGGTGTTAGAGTGCTGGCCTTGAGCTGAAGAGCTAAAAGGCCAGCACTCAGGCCCAGAGTTCAAGCCCATGACTAACAAAAAAAAAAAACATAAATAAATAGGTTTCTAGGAGCTGGGAATATGGCTTAGCAATAGAGTGCTTGCCTAGCATGCATGAAGTCCTGGTTTGATTCCTCAGTACCATATAAACAGAAAAAGCCAGAAGTGGTGCTGTGGCTCAAAGTGGTAGAGTGCTAGCCTTGAGCAAAGAAGCTCAGGGACAGTGCCCAGGCCCTGAGGTCAAGCCACAGGACTGGCCAAAAAAAAAAAGTTTTTAGTAATAATCATTAATTTGAATGCTAAAATTACAGAAGTAACGTTTTAGAATCCTGGATTGAACTGTTTGATATTCTGATTAATAATGTTTATAAAAAAATTGCATTTTTATTTTTTTCCAGTCCTGGGGCTTGACCTCTGGGCCTGGGCCCTGTCCCTGAGCTTCTTTTGCTCAAAGCTAGCACTCTACCACTTGAGCCACAGCGCCACCTCTGTTTTTTTCTCTGTTTATGTGGTGCTGAGGAATCAAACCCAGAGCTTCATGCATGTTAGATAAGCACTCTACCACTGAGCTATATTCCTAACCCAGGTCTCATTATGTCTAAGAATCTCTCTTTTTTAAACAGATATTTTGCTATGTTTGTGCTTCTATGTATCATTTTTGCTTTTAGCTATAAATGTCTTTTTCTTTTTCTTTTCTTTTTTCTTTTTTTTGGTTGGTTGTGGGTCTTGAACTTGAACTGGGCACTGTCCCTGAGCTCATCCACTCAAGGCGAGCACTCTACCACTTGCGCCACAGCACGATTTCCAATTTCTGGTGGTTTATTGGAGATGACTTTCCTACCCCGGCTGGCTTTGAACTGCAATCCTCAGATCTCAGCATCCTGAGTAGCTAAGATTACAGGCATGAGCCACAAGTGCCTGGCCTAAATGTCAATTTTTATGAGCTATCTAATAATCACAATAGCTTCTGATTCTTCTCATTACAGGCATGAGTTGGGGCTAGTGGCTCATGCCTGTAATCATAGCTACTTAGGGAGCTGAGATCTAATGATTTAAGTTCAAAGCTAGTCTGAGCAGACAAATTTGAGATATTCTTGTCTCTGATTACCAGCAAAAAGCCAGGAATGGAAGTGTGGAGTAAAGAAACTAATAAGCAAGAGCATGAGGCCAAGCTGGCATGATACTTGTAATTCTAGCTACTCGGGGAGACTGAGATTTGGGAGTTGCAGTTCAAAGCCATCCCAGGCAGATGAATCCAAGAGACTTTTTAAAAAATTATTTTAATTGTAAAGATGTTGTACAGAGAGGTTACAGTTACATGAGTTAAGGTAATTATCAATTTCTTCTCGAACATTATTACCCCCTCCTTTGTTTTTTTCCTACAAGAGACTCTTATCTCAAATTAACTATCAAGCCACATATGTAAAGCTATCTATAAATCTATCTTTCACAGATGACGTAAAAGATAGAAACTGGTGTGGAAGGACGGGGAGCTGCATACCTTGATAAACTCTGAAATCATTGCTGCAACAAGGAAGTATACAATAAACAAGTGGTAGAGAAAGTTGTGGGAATTTTTTTTTTTTGACCAGCTAGAATTTGAGGTGTGGCTGAAGTGTTAGAATACCATCCTTGAGTTAGAAAAACCAAGAGTTAAAGGCCCTGAGTTCAGACCCCAGTACATGTGTACACACACTCACACACCAACACACACACTCTCTTAGCCTTTTTATTTCAAGGTGAGTCAGGTGCTATTTAGTGCAGTGTAGAGGGCAGTTTCTGTTGTTATACAATGTTAATTTCTTCCATTTTGACAGAATGTTGGCTGATACCTACTAACAAAATCATATCCGGGCTGGGAAGGTGGTAGAGCGCTTGCCTTGCATGCATGAGGCTCTGAGTTCGATTCCTCAGCACCACATAAGCAAAAAAGAAAAAAGCCAGAAGTGGCACTGTGGCTCAAGTGGTAGAGCGCTAGCCTTGAGCTGAAGAGCTGAGGGACAGCACCCAGGCCCAGAGTTCAGGC